TGCTGGGGCTCATGTTGAGGCTGAGGATCATGCTGAGGCACATGTTGAGGCTGAGGTTGATGCTGGGGCTCATGTTGAGGCTGATGCTCATGCGGAGGCTCATGCTGAGGTTGATGCTGAGGCTGATACTGAGGCTCATGCGGAGGCTCATGCTGAGGTTGATGCTGAGGCTGATACGGAGGCTCATGCGGAGGCTGAGGCTTATGCTGTTGTTCATGGTGTTGTTCCTGCTCGGGAGCATGGGTAGCCTCGTACTGGTGGTGGCCCTCAACAGTGCGAGTCACAGTGTGTACCACTTTGCGAGTCAAAGTCGAACAGGTGGGCACTGGCTTCTCCTCTTCATGATAGTCATCCTGAGGCGGAGCGGCAATGATCTCATGGACATCAGAGTGCGATTTCACGGAGTGGTCATCACTGTGCGCCACGTTGGTTTTGAGGTCAGCCGAGTTCGCTTGGCCATAAGCGTTGGCATCGCCAACGTCCCCGCCGCCTGGTCCATCGACGACAACTGTATCAGGACTATACGCGCGCTTTCCCGGGCCGCCATGACCCTCGCGTCCATGAGGGGGTCCATGATGAGGCGGATGGGGGGGAGGCAGAACCTTGATATCTGTTGTTTCATCAATGCCAACAGAGTGGTCGTCAATGTTCGCCACGGTAGTTCTGAACTCTGCTGAGTTCTCTTCGTCATAAGCGTTGGCGTTGCCAACGTCCACGCCGCCTGGTCCATCGACGACAACTGTATAGGGTCTATGTGCGCGCTTTCCCGGGCCGCCATGACGCTCGTGTCCGTAAGGGGGTCCATGATGAGGCGGGTGGGGGGGAGACAGGATCTTGATGTCGGTTGCCTTGTCAATGTCGACCGAGTGGTCATCCTCGTTAAATGAGTTCACATCAGATGAGAACGCATTCTTCGACGCGAAGCCGGCGGCATTGCCAACGTCGACTCCATGAGGTCCGCCAACCACTGTATCCGGGCCGTTTCCATGGCGGTCGCGGCGCTCGTGGTCATGGCGTGGTGGGCCGTGTGAATGTGGTTCGTGCGGTGGAGGAAGCACCTTGATATCAGTTGTCTTCTTGATATCAACAGAGTGGTCATCCTTATGATAATCGCTCACTTCCGATTTTAGCTCGCTCTTGAAACCAAATTCTGCCGCATTGCCGACATCCACAGTGTGAGGGCCATCGACCACAGATGTCACTGGTCCCTTGCCATGCCGGTCGCGGCGGCCATGCCCATGCCCATCTCCATGTGGAGGTCCATGTGGAGGTCCATGTGGAGGTCCATGATGGAACGGGGGTGGAGGCGGTGGTGGAATATTAACAATGTGGGTAGTCTTATCGATTTTCACACTGTGGTTGTCCTCGTTATATGAGTTGACATCCGACTTGAATGCGTTCATGAAATCAAGGTCTGCCTCGTTACCAATGTCAACGCTATGCGGTCCACCTACCACGGTGGGCGCATAGCGTCTTCCATGTGCTTCATGTCCTCCCCGAGGTCCGTGTCCCGACTCGCGAGGGCCGTGGGCCGGAGGGTGTGGAGGAACAGTGAGGATGTTGGTCTTTTCATCAACATCGAGAGAGTGGTTATCAATATTGGTGGCTTTCACCCTTGAGAAGTATTTGTTCTCGAATTCGTTCGCAGCTGCGTTGCCAACATCAACACCGCCGGGACCATCGACGACGGCAGAATGTGGAACCCCACGGCGTTCTTGATGGTGTTCTTTCTGTGCTTCCTGTCCCTCCTGCTCCCCGCCATGCGAGTTATGCTCATCTCCATGGCCTTGCTCTCCGTCATGCGAGCCTTGCTCCTCTCCATGGCCTTGCTCCCCACCGTGCGAGCCTTGCTCCTCTGCATGGCCTTGCTCCTCTCCATGGCCTTGCTCCCCACCGTGCGAGTCATGCTCATCACCATGGCCTTGCTGTCCACCATGCGAGTCATTCTCATCACCGTGAGCTTGCTCCCCGCCATGCGAGTCATGCTCAATACCGTGGCCTTGCTCTCCGCCATGCGAGCCAGGCGCCTCTCCATGGCCTTGCTCCCCACCATGCGAGTCATGTTCATCACCATGGCCTTGCTCCCCGCCAT